ATGAAACTAAGTAAATGGACATAATACGCTGATCTTGTATAAACAGTTAAGCAACTAACAACATATATGAACTTGTAAAAAATTAGCACAGCAAATGACCATGTGGTCTAAAGTAAATTCAATTTTATTTAATGTTAATAAGTGAGTAAGAACCAAGAAAATCATAAATAACTTCCAAGTAGCGATGTGAAATTACGTGTAATTTCAGAAATTGTAAGTTACACGTGTAAAATTACCCAAAAATTACAAACCAGATGTAATTTATGTAACTTATGTAATTTATGTTCATTGTATTAAAAAATCAATTGTTTGCATTCATATTGAATATAATAAACACAAAGTAACTACATACTTATGAAATAAAGAAAAGTGGATAAGAAATACATACAAATAATAAAGAAATGAAAACATAGGTTCTTTAGTTTTGTTTTAAGCGGCTTTTATAAATCACAACTTCCTTTTTCGCAGACAACTGGAGACCTTCTTGTTATAAAACGTCGAAGTTTCAATTGTTTGCTCTTCCAATGAGCCTTGTGTAATTTTTTTTATCTCCGGCAAATCCAGAACTGCATCCTGAAATTAAATAGGAAAGTGTAAACATAGAGAGTAAAAATAATGGGTTTATAATATAATATATACAGATCTAACTACCTTGTTTTCGGCATCTGAAGTATCCTTCTCGACTTCCGTTTTTTTTTGGGGTTGTTCTGTGCCTTTACCCTGAAATTGATAATTTTGGAATATAAACAATAAATATGTATGTGTTTACACTAATTTACCGATTTCATTAAGACGTTTTCTAAAATGTTCACTTTGCTTTGTCTCAAAATGCGTGCTGGTCTCTGTTCCCTAGTTTCCATTCTTTGATCAATTTCATCATCGGTCATTGCAAAGTCAGCAAAATTAAAATCATCGTCGGAATTTCCATTTCCTGTTGTATTTGAATGCCATGATGATATTGTCTGAAAACATAAGATTTATAATTTTTTATTCGAAAACGGTGGAATGCATTGGAAAATCGGAAAAGAAGCAAACTGCATATATCACATGCACATATCACATATCTAAAAAATGCCTAAATTTAAAATTACCTCGTCTAATTCTTCCTCTTCGGAAATATGGTTTTCAATTACTTCTATCTCCTTCTGTAAGTTTCTACCTTCTATCGAAACGTTGTTCTGTACAGTCTCTTCTATAGGATATTGACTTTGTATGTGATGTTGTCGTGAACGTTTCAGCAATTTTGAATTATATTGTATATAATTTAAATTTGCTGCCCTTTGAGTTGTTAGGCGATTTCTTCTCTTCGTATGAATGCTGCTCTGGGAGCTAAAGCTTCTCTCTGTTGCCGCAGAAGTGCACGGCATTGTCAATATCCTGACTGCAACTTTGGAGAGGCATGAATGTCCACAAAATCCTTTCCACCATGTAACCAAAGAGACATTATCGAGTATGTTCCATAAAAATGTTTCGCCAAAAAAGTCTGTTTTAGCTAAATAGTTTCCTAAATCCTCAGTAATCTTTGACACTCCTTCATCACCAATCTCTATCGTGGTCGTGGTTGACATAGTAGTAATGTATTTCATCGCTTCAATCCTTTCGGCTGATGATAAATTTGCACCAACAGACCGAGGGTTTAGTAAGTCTGCGGCAAAATGGATCGGTTGAAGGGCGTATTCCTTCCTTGATATAAATTTATCCATCGCTTCTGTTTTTTCGCAATCCGTTAGTTTCACGCATTCTAAATGAGTAGATATGTTACTACCGATTTTCGCGAAAGTTTCACAAACCAAATGAATTGACGAAGAATCTCCTTCAAGACGTGTTATTGCTTCAGTAATTGGCTTAAGCAATTCAACAAGAGCGCTAGAATTTATCCAGAATCCTTCATCAAGTAAATTTGCTTTTGCGCTGCGTATTCTATCTTGAATTGTTTTATCTGGAGATATTGCTAGACGTTGTAGGACGGACTTGCATTTAGTCAGATCTTGAAGACATTTTACATGTGAACCCCATCTTGTTTTTACAGGTAGGCTAAGAGACACTCCACACTTCATCTCATTTCTTATTTCTGTGAATTGAGCTCTCAGTACTTGACACTGGTTAATAGTTTTAACGATATGTATAATATGTGACAAATGTGTCTCTATTGAAGATAATTTCAAAATATCGCTGCACAATAAATGTAATGTGTGCGCTAAACAGCCGTATGATACAAGATGGGGATACATCTCTTCACATTGTCTCACAGCCTTCCTCATATTCTTTGCGTTATCAGTCACAATAGCGAAAAATTTTTTAGGTCCATACTCCTCCAGAACTTCAACCATTAATTTTGTTATATATTCTGCGGTATGCTTCTCTGCTTTTGTTAGTACTGATTTGACAAATAACGGTTCGGGTGTTGTAACAATGAAATTAATTACACTTTCATTTCGCAAGTTGGACCAACCATCGCATTGCAATGATAAATTGTCAGCTTGCTTAATTTTATCATTAACTTGAACTTCAACTCGCTCGTACTCTTCGGTCAGGAGACGATTTGATAACATATATCTCGATGGTAAGGTGTATGAAGGTCTAATTTTTTTAAAAAACAATTTCCAATCTTCATTCTCGGTAATTGAATGTGGTGCTGAACTGGTGTAAATAGCTCTAGCAAGCAAAATATTCAATTCGTTATTTTGTTCGTGTGTCATTCGATCACAAAATGATTGTATTCTGTTGATTTTTGTGCAAACAGGTGTTTCCACATGAATGTTATCAGAAGCAGATGTTGATGCTGTGGAAACCGTTGATGATGTACAAGCAGCATCAGTGTTATCGTTATCCAATTTTGCCGATGTGATCTTTTTCATGGATGTTTCAAATGGAAATTTAGAGTGATTCCCCTTTGACTTTGGAGTTAAAATATTGAATTTAAGTTTTATCATATGCGGCACATAAGTGCATTGTTGAAGATGAGATTTCATTCTTGTAGCATTTTTTGCATGTACACTCTTGCAAAATTTACACCTCACATTTATGGTCTTTTGATTAGAAGAACCCGCAGGTAACACTTCAAAATAAAGCCAGATATCTGTCTTACGTTTCACCATGTTTTATGACCTAAAAAAAATATTCAGGTAGACTTAAACATTAAGAAGGGAAAAAACATTATTTTTCAAAGTATTTGATGGGCACGAGGGCATAAAAAATTGTTAGGCATCCTTAAATAGAAGAAAGATTAAAATTGAATCTGTGTAACAATTTAATGAAATTCGAATAAGCAGAATACTGGATCGGACAACTACATTATTTTGCCCTCAACGTTATCAAAATTTTTTATTTAGTAAGTTATGTCAGTGTAATTCAATTACACATGCTACATGCACAAGTACCCCGTTGCTCCTATCATTCTTATAGTTATTGTACAGTAAACTAATCTAAAAAATCGAATAAAACTTGGTAAACCGAATTCAGAATTAAGTACTGTAGCCACATATAAAATGACGCGCGTTAGATTTAACGTACAGTCGATATGCGATAGGCCCGCCCCTGTGTTTCCCAATCTAAGGTTGCTATGGACATCACCGGCACGTGTTTTGCTGTTTGTAGAAATAATATATTTCTTACCTTATAGTTTCTGTGCTTCCTTATAAATAAATGTAAAGTAACCAACGCTGCGTGAATGAATAGAGAAAGAACAGTCGAAAACTAACTTATACATACACATTACACATACAATAACAGAAATGTAAACATAACCTGCCTGACTCAGACTAAGGAACGACTAACGAGCGACGAGCGTAATAGCACCCACTGGTTCGCGCGCGCCGGCACCGGCGCACCGCACTTACGACAATTGCGCGCGCATAAGTTGCCATAATATATGTAATTTTACCAGTAATTACATAAATTACGGTAATTTATGTAAATTTATCATAAGTTACGTTAAATTTCATAAATTACGTAAATTCCAAAAATTACATAAATTACATTAAGTTACGGGTATCATGTAATATTACCGTAAGTTACGTGTAATTTATGTAACGTAAGTTATGTAATTTTACAACTCACATCACTACTTCCAAGTATTTAATGGATATTAAGCTTTGATTTTAACTTTAGGTAGCATTATAAGTGATATTAATAAAATTTTAAAAAGTAGTAGTCTGAGTGATCCTTATATATATATATATATATATATATATATATATATATATATATATATATGTATACATATATATATATTATATATATATATATATATATATATATATATATATATATATTTGTCTTTTATTTCTCCACCCTGAGACCGATATAAGAACCTACCACTAGTCTGAGTGATCCTTATATATATATATTGGATTGACGGTCGTACTCCTTTTTCCGATATATATATATATATATATATATATATATATATATATATATATATATATATATATATATATAAGCCACTGCTCAAAAAAATAAGGGATGGTTAAATGAACAGAAGTCCTCATACTACAAGTACTTCTAGTTAAAACTGTCGGTAACCTCTAAACCATCCCATAGGACTCACTAAAGAGCTATGAGGTCTTATCGGCTCTAAAACTCATATACGGCAGTAAATATTTAAAGCAAGTATTCCAAAGTCAAAGAGCGTATCCATGCTCTTACGGATCTATGCAAGAATACGAATGGGAATGCGTAATTTTATTGTGTTTTAATTGTTTCTTGGTTCTTTTTGTTTGCTATTTTTTTAATTGAAATACTAGTGACCTAGGTGCTTTTAAGCAATATTGTTAGTACTGTTTTGAATATATTATGTACAAAAATTTTAAATATTTTTAACTTTAAATCTGTAAATAAATCATTGTTTTATTATTTATTCTCACCAGATATTTATATAAATTTTAACCATTTTTGTATGTGCCAATATTTGCTACTACTATAAATTATGTCACCTTCAGAAAAGTGTAAAAGAAAAATGGCTTTATTATTATTGTGTGACCATTCAATATATTTTACAGGAAAATGAAAAAGTTCTTTTCTCATGCCTTAAAACACAAGATGGAGCCCTCGAGTTTATGTCAGTTTTAAGAGAACCTGAACTTTCAGCTATTGAAATAGTGGAGAAAAGATGTAAATGGGGAGCACATATAAATGATTGTGCCGATAAATATTTTGCTGTAGCAAAAGAGTGCTTTTATTTTACTGAAACTGATCTAAAAGGGTTGCAAATTTGGAAAAAAATTGATGATAAAATTCTGTCGTATATTTGTAAAAATAATGCTCAAATAACACTTGGTAAGTATAATCTGAAAAGGTTTGACCAAAGATTTGATATGAGAAACATGTATTTATGTAGATCCAGTCACAACAGGGACCTATTTGCTCTTGTGATTTAGCTTATGAATAGCAAGTTTTGTTTAAATTATTTTAAGTTTATGTTAACGAAATTTGCAATTGTCAGTTAGTTAAAATAATATAAATAGAACCAAAAAAATCTCACCACACATTATCGAAGCTTAAGTCAATTTCAGTTTCACTTTTTTTATGTAAAAGTTTACAACAGTAAGTTGCCGTGTTGTATTTTATACATTTTTTATGATTTACTTAAATGTATTATGTATGTAACAAAAACGATACGAATGCACGCGTACTACAACAACTTAATAAAGAATTATAGTTTATTCGTCTTCCGGGTTTGGACCGTGTCATTTGTGAGTGACCCAAAAGTGGGTTCATCTCGACGTTTCGCTACAATTGTATGTAGCTTCTTCAGGAGAACAAAAAAAGAAAAAAGAAAGAAAGAAGAAAACAAAGAACAGGAAGATGGGTAGTTAGCAACGGTAACTCAGTTACTCAACGCAACCAGAGGCGAATACTAACTACCAAGATGGGCATTTGGTCACAGTAACTCAACTAGAGTAGTTGAGTTACTGTGACCAAATGCCCATCTTGGTAGTTAGTATTCGCCTCTGGTTGCGTTGAGTAACTGAGTTACCGTTGCTAACTACCCATCTTCCTGTTCTTTGTTTTCTTCTTTCTTTCTTTTTTCTTTTTTTGTTCTCCTGAAGAAGCTACATACAATTGTAGCGAAACGTCGAGATGAACCCACTTTTGGGTCACTCACAAATGACACGGTCCAAACCCGGAAGACGAATAAACTATAATTCTGACTCTGGCCGTGGAAGCCTACGATTTCATTTAACTTAATAAAGATATTAATAAAGAAGTGAGAAAGGACGTACGACAATATATCACAAAAAAGATTACAACGGTTGCCGAGGAAAATAAAAGTTTAAAGGTGCTGAAGATATGTCAAGCTCTAGGTAAGAAGAATATTATTAAGCTCGCAGATCGAAATGGAAAAGTGGTAACAGATAAAGATAAGATAATTAAGGTAGTTGAAGAATTTTACATATAATTATATAGAGAAAGGGGTAAGAAAGACGGCACCAAGTTGAGAAAAGTCCAGAATGTGGGTTAAGAGGATATCCCATAAATAACAATCGAAGAAGCCTCAAAGTCAATAATCGAATGAAAAACAATAAAGCTGGAGATTGCCAAATCGTTATTAAGGCAGTTAAAGCAGGAGGAAAGACAGTATTGAAAGCATTGACACAATTATATAACTTATGCCTTTCAAAAGAGGTTACACCATCTCAGTGGAATACAGCTGTTATAGTAGTTACATGCACAAAAAGGGAAATATAACAGAGCTAAAGAAATATAGACCTATTAGCTTGTTATCTCACGTTTATAAGTTGTTTATGAACATAATAACTAATAGGTTGACATCAAAACTAGACTTCTATCAACCTTGCGAGCAAGCAGGATTTAGAGCTAGATACGGAACAAATAATAATTTGCAAACCATTAAGTCGTTGATTGAAAAAACCATTGAATATAATAGACCCCTGATACTTGTCTTTGTCGACTTTAAAAAAGCATTTAATCCGGTCAATAAAAGTAAAATTCTCCAAGCTCTAACATAATGTAAAATAGATCACCGATACATATCTCTCATCAGATACATCTATCAACATGCTACAGCCTGTATAAGACTTAATGAAGATACTGGGACCTTTTGTATTGAAAGAGGTGTTCGACAAGGAGACAACATGTCTCCTAAATTATTTACAACTTTGCTAGAATACGCTTGTAAAACAATAGCTTGGAGAGAAAAGGGTATCAACGTAGATGGAAATTTTTTAAATAACCTTAAATTTGCAGATGATATCGTTCTTAGTGCAGACAACTTTGATCAGGCACAGATAAGGCTCCAAGAACTCCATACTGTCACAAAAAGAGTTGGTCTTAAAATAAATTTTTCAAAAACACAATTTATGACAAATTTAGTCCACAACAAAAACATCTCAGTAGAAGACAAAGATATTGAGCCAGTTGATTTCTATAAATACTTGGGCCATGAGATCAGAATAAGTCGAGACAACCAAACAATCGAGCTGAAAAGAAGAATAAACCTCGCTTGGGCTGCATTTGGAAAGATGAAGGATATTTTCAGGTCTAAGATTCCAATGTGTCTGAAAATAAAAGAATTTATTCAACATATTTTGCCAGTGATGACCTACGGCGCAGAAATCTTAACGCTCACAAAAACAACAGTGAGTAAACTACAAGTTGTGGAAGAGGCAATGGATAGAAATATGTTAGGGATTTCTCTACGTGATAGAATATCCAATGCTACTATACGCAAAAGATCAGGAGTAGCAGACGTTATTGAAAGGATAACAACACTAAAGTGGAACTGGGCAGGTCATGTAGCAAGATCAGTTGATGACCGGTGGAGAAAAAGAATTTTGGAATGGAGACCCCAAATATAAACTTACAGAAATAGAGGTCGACCTCCAACGAGATGGACAGATGACATAAAAAGAGTGACTGCAAATTGGATTCAGATGGCGCAAAATCGGACTAAGGGGAAAAGCATGCGAGAGACCTATGTTCAGCAGTGGACGTAAGAGGCTAGTTGATGATGGTGATTGTGTGTGAACTTAACCCATTAAGTACTGAATTTTATAATTTTGGAATTTTCTGTAATTTTTCATATTTTCTATAATAGGGGTATCCAAATATTGTATATTAATATTTTAAATACCCGTCTGGTAATAACAATATTACAGCATGTGCCATATATGACACAGTAGTCCCCTATACTACTAAAGTAAACAAATATTTGGAAAGATGTATTTTTATTGTTAAGTTTACAAAAATTATGAAAATCGCTTACAAAGCTTCAATTTTGTTTGTGAAAGTCACTAAAGCACTGAATACACAGCCCTACATTGCATTTGCAGCATTGTGTTCTCACAGCGCTCGATTGTGCGTGACTGCCGGCACAACGTCTTCTTTTATCATTCGGAACATATTCAACATAGTGATCACTGTGATCGTACCTAATATCGACAGCAATCCTGCTTTCAGGTGAATATGTAGCTGGTCGTCCAGCAGCTTCAGGTAGATTTTGAAACCTTTTTAAATACACTTGTGCTATTTCTCTTCGAAAACTCATTTCGGGTGCACCTGGGTGATTTTTTCTATATATTATCCACGAATTTTGGATAGATGTGTCTAGTAGCCAAGTAAAGATGGGCCACCACCATTTCTTGCCTCTAATTCCAATTCTATAAACATTTGTATTTGCATCCATTGGATCGGTACCCCCTATAAAAGCATTGTATTTTCCAATACAATTAGGTCTAGGAATCCCTATTTTCTTTTTTTCAGTCGATGAGTATCGGCTTGCATTCGATACTGGAGAAACTCCATGAACAGTTGATGCTACAGTAACTACAGAATTATCCATCCAGCGTGTCACAATTACTTACAATCAAATACAGTTGATTTGTGGTTACAGCATAGTCATAAGTACCTCTAGGTGTCTTTTTTAACTCTTTTACTGTACGGAGTGGACAATTCCTTGTTAGTCTATTTTCTCTAACTATCCTTGTTGCTTCATAACCATTCTCTTTTAAATAATAAAGAATATAGATGGATGTGAATAAGTTATCAAAATAAAAATGGTATGGCAATGATCTAGTTTCCTCGGGCATCTCTTCAATGAGCTGCAATAACGGAGCTGTTGCTTTACCAAATTTTTCTTGATGCTCTCGATTAGAATTTGGCATATTTCCCTGATAAACCTCAAAATTGATAAGGTAACCGCTTTTGGAATTGAGACACCAGACTTTATATCCAAACCGGATGGGTTTCCCTCGAATATACTGCTTACATCCGTGTTTTCCAAAGTATTCGATCATGCTTTCATCATAGGCGATTTCTTGATCCGGAAAGTAATATCTCAGAAAGTTAGTTTTTATCTTATTTATAAGAGGTCTGAGTTTAGTCAGTTTGTCGCTGGGTTCAAGAAGAGTGTTATCGGCACAATGCACGAATCTCATGATCTGAATAAATCTGTCACGGCGCCGCGGCGCATGGAATTATAAACGGCTGTGTTTCGCACATCATCTCCAGAATCCCAGTAACTTTTTTTTGATGGCTTTTTATCATAACCAGAAACTATAAGAATGGCTAAAAAGCATTTCATTTCTTCTGTTGTAATTTTTGGGTCTGAACAATTTTTAAATTGAGCGTATCGAGTAGCCCCAACACAAAGTAACTGTATGATATCATCAGTAATGAAAAGCTCGAACAGGTCTACTGGTGACATATTTTCATACTTCGAGAAATTTGAAATTGGAAATATCTTTTGGTTTGTAATCTAGGGTAAGTCACGATTTTTCAACCAGTTTACTATTTTTTTATTTTTTTTATTTTTACCAGATTTAGTATGGAGTATGGTAATAACTTCATTAGAGTCTTTATGTGCAATATCTTCAGTATTTCCATAATCGTCAGTACCAATTCGTTCTCCACTATTGAATACTATTTCTGCAGACGCTTGAAGTTGTTTGCCTGATAAATTGTCTAGTCCACCACCAGATTCATCTCGGGAATCTTCGTCTCATTCTTCTCGGTTTTCCGGGGGTTCTATATAAACCCGATCAACTGTTTCATTGTGAAAATCCTCCCAAAATTGTTCTGAGTCAAAGAGATCTGCAATCTCTAGGACTGTCAATCTATGACAAAAAATAAAAACATTTTTGTAGATTTAACAATTGCGTACCGTAAAAGACTAGTTAAATGGACAAAAACACATAATTTATGAACACTGGGTATATCTAATGCTCCTTTTTTACATACATAAATGTTATCAACATTTATGTATATAAAATTTATCACCTGAACTAAATTTGTACACAGATATAAAATTTTTAATACGTACTGGTAAAAAAAATAACTTCCCTTTTATTAGAACACATTTCGTACGTAGTCAAAACAAAGACGAACTCTCAGCTTATAATCACAACAACAAATAATTGTCAAATGCATTTTCCTTTCGCCTGCAACTAAACTACATACTAACAGACCTAAAAACATCTACTAGGGTTTTGAAGGTCACTCGTTAAGCGCTGTAAGTCACAATGAAAAGATCGTTCTTTAGTGTATCATATATGGCACACTAGTACCTAATGGGTTAAGGTTGACAAAATATTAATTGCATTGCTACTACCAAGAAAGCAGTGTTAAAACTCTATGATTTGTTTTCGGCCAAACTATGAGAATATTAATAGTATTTGGTTTACCCCAGAAAAGCCTAATTTGTACGTGTAGTGTAATTGGGATAATAAACTTTGCTTAACCTTAAACTGAGGTAGTTGGCATTTTTTATTAAAACCATACTGTTACATGGCGTATTTGGTAGTAATATGTGATATAGATGTTAACCAATTTTCCAAGAATTTCGCCGTAGTTTCATCATAACACTCCTTATGAGGTCTAGTAGAAAAACATTTGTTAAGCATATTTTAGCAGAACTTTCCTCTGAGTTTCATACAGTTTTCATTTTGTTCTTTACACGTGGCATTTATTTTTGATGGATTATATCTACATCACTGTGGTCGAATCTCTTGCCCAAAACCCAAAATGTTTTATTTTATTTCTTTATTGTTTATTATATTTGTTAGTTATAGAGTAGGTACACTGTCTTTACTGTCTGTGTTTTATTGCTATTCAGTCACAAATTAACCCCTTAATTTATAATCTCACATTATTCTTAACTTCTTAATCTTTTATAGTTTCACCATGTATAAGAGACACATTGTAAAACCATATCGTATTATAAATTGCCGAATAATATATTTTCTAATTCAACTTCCTAAGTGTCGCAATTAAGGCCTTAATAAGTGTCGCAATTAAGGATTAAATTGTAATGTAAGCAAATAGTTCAAAGTATTTAATTAAAAATCCTTTGTAAAACGTATATACTTAAGGCCCAAACGGGCTAAGTTAAAAAGACATAAAGTTTTCGGAATCCATATTCCATCATCAGTGTCCTAGAAAATAGTTAACCACTTAATTAAAAAGAATATAAGTTAAAATTTTGACTAAGGTTAATGAAAAATGTGGTTAATACTTACTAGGAGTACATGAATGTAGCCACCAAGATTAAATATATGGGTAAAAACCCGTTAACAGATGTTTAATTACATTAAGTTTTAAAAATACGTTATAATAATTTAAGATGATAGAGTTACCGATGGATTAGATAACATGGCGACATATGACTCCACGTTGAAGTTGCTAGTCCTGAGACGGTATGTCTTCGAGGACTGTATGAGTGCAACTGATTGGCAATGACATTTGATGACAATATTGTTAAGTTGTGACGGAAATTATCACAAAGCAGTACATGTAACTGTATGTTTCTACTTAAGACAAAAGCCAACGTTATTTAAAATTATGAAAATTAAGTAAACTAATATAACAGTATCAACCATCAATGTTGTAGTTTTAAATTTATGTAAATAAGATGATATAAGGGAGAAAAATTGTATGGTTGTAGTTAGGCAACCAACTATGCATGTATGTAGCAATTTAATATAGAAAATTTTTTTAATATATGGCCCTTTATGTTTCTTAAACATTTGGTACCCAGAAAATATAAACTAGACACATGTGGAAGGTTGAATTTTAGAAATTTAAATGTTAATGGTTGGATCTAAATGTATTTATTTAAAATTGAAAGTGTTCTTGAATGAATAAAATAAAACTGTTTTAGTAAATGAACTTTAAAAATAAGGCTATTATCGAGCACAAGTTAATTAAATCTAGCCCAAGTACTTTCGCTTAAAATAGCATCTTCAGGAGCATTTCGTCAAAATAAGAACTATCAGGCAAGCGTAGAATGTGGAAACATTAAAAATAACATAAAAATCTACAAAAACACTACACTAAAACGAGGACAAACAGTTTAAAATTACTTCTACGCTACATTTTCTGTCACTGACAGAGAATGTAGCGTAGAAGTAATTTTAAACTGTTTGTCCTCGTTTTAGTGTAGTGTTTTGTATAATTTATGTTATTTTTAATGTTTCCACATTGTACGCTTGCCTGATAGTACTTATTTTGACGAAATGCCCCTAAAGATGCTAGCGAAAGTACTTGGGATAGATTTAATTAACTTGTGCTCGATAATAGCCTTATTTTCAAAGTTCATTTATTCGAGCATTCAACGTCATTTCATTTATGTTTTAGTAAATGTTCACGTGTTATTTAACTTTTAACTCAAATATAAAGGCCCTGTATGTCAAAAGCAACATTTGGTACCTGGTAAATGTGAAAATTTTGAGTTATAAGTTCATGAACATAAATATCTGACAAGGTGGTAACAGACTAAAAGGTGTGGAAGTTTTATTGTATTAGCTATTATATTTCGTTCATTATATATAATAGCTAATACAATAAAACTTCCACACCTTTTAATCTGTTACCACCTTGTCAGATATTTATGTTCATGAACTTATAACTCAAAATTTTCACATTTACCAGGTACCAAATGTTGCTTTTGACATACAGGGCCGTTATATTTGAGTTAAAAGTTAAATAACACGTGAACATTTACTAAAACAGTTTTATCTTATTCATTCAAGAACACTTCCAATTCTAAATAAATACATTTAGATCCAACCATTAACATTAAAATTTCTGTAATTCAACCTTCCACATGTGTCTAGTTTATATTTTCTGGGTACCAAATGTTTAAGAAACATAAAGGGCCATATATTAAAAAATTTTTCTGTATTACATTGCTACATACATGCATAGTTGGTTGCCTAACTACAACCATACAGTTTTTCTCCCTTATGTCATCTTATTTACTTAAATTTAAAACTACAATATTGATGGTCGATACTGTTATATTAGTTTACTTAACTTTAATAATTTTAAATAACGTTGGCTTTTGTCTTAAGTAGAAACATACAGTTACATTGACTGCTCTGTGATAATTTCCGTCATAACTTAACAATATTGTCATCAAATGTCATTGCCAATCAGTTGCACTCATACAGTCCTCGAAGACATATCGTCTCAGGACTAGCAACTTCAACGTGGAGTCATCTGTCGCCATGTTACCTAATCCATCGGTAACTCTATCATCTTAAATTATTATAACGTATTTTTAAAACTTAATGTAATTAAACATCTGTTAACGGGTTTTTACCCATATATTTAATCTTGGTGGCTACATTCATGTACTCCTAGTAAGTATTAACCACATTTTTCATTAACCTTAGTCAAAATTTTAACCTATATTCTTTTTAATTAAGTAATTAACTATTTTCCAGGACACTGGTGATGGAATATGGATTCCGAAAACGTTATGTCTTTTTAACTTAGTTCGTTTGGGCCTTAAATATATACCTTTTGCAAAGGATTTTTAATTAAATTTTTAATACATGGTATACAGCCAACTACAGGAACGTAGATTCCTTGTGAAGTTCAAAGTATGGTATGATAGAAAGCAATAACTTCTGTGCTGAGGTATGAATTATTTGTGAGATTATAAATTGGGGATTTGAGCTCATTTGAGTACAATCTATCATAAGTAGTTACCTAACGAACATTATATTGTGTAATTACCAGTATCTGTCAATAAATCAACAATTTTATTCCACAACTTCAACCTTTTATTATACCTATCATCGTCGATTGACAAGAAGTGGATAAAGGGGCATTTACAAACCGATTCGAACCTTAAAAATACGTTCGAATCTTTCCAATTTCTTTAGTCGAAAACTAGAAATAAATTCGGATAAGAAATTAATTATTATTATAGATATTATAATGTTGAAATCAGTCATATTTTAAAAATACGCTAAATGCTGCGAAGAAGACAGATTCTGTTTTCGGTAGATCTTTTTAAATAACTGCTTATCTTATCTCAAATCAACAATAATGAATATCTTAGATTTTTGGTAAAACCTAATTATTTTTTAATTAAAACTATTATTAAATTTATATCATTTTTTATTCTAGACTTCTTTAAACCAAGTAAACTATCATGTTGGAGTGAGGGTATTACTAAAGTCTTAAAAGAATGTACGTCAAATGTAAATATCACTGCTCCTTTTTATAATTTACCTAAAATTCAATCGAACTGCAAGTAAGTATAAACGGTTTACTCAAATAGCGGTTATATTTATTTTATAAGTATCTGACGAACACCTGAGACAATTAATAGACAATTCTGGCTCCTTACTACTAGAAATTAACGGAAGAATTAAATTAGCTTGAACATATTTTGGTAGAAATGCATTTGATTGGAGGAGATTGGAAAAAGTGGAATAGGTATGTAGAAATGTGAGTTTAGCTGATTTTTTAAGGAGAAAAGAAAGATAATCAGTTGTTTTCCAAGGGTGCAAGGCGAACAGTCGTTGTTCTCTGGTGGTTCCCCAGAAGTAGTAAGCAGTAGAAGTGAATGTTTCTGAGTTTTCGTAAAGTAAGTGTATCTGACAGAAGCTGATCCAGTAAAATATTGTAAGTTATATTTTTCTACTTATATTTCAAGAGTCACTGTTCAGGCCAGAACCAGGGATGGGCGGTGTCGATAATGTCATGTCGACAATTCGATTGTCGACATGTCGACAATCATGTCGATGTCGACTGTCAAGTGATTTAAATTTGTTGCCAATGTCGACAATGTCGAGTATGTCGACAATTAGCAAACGATCAAACGTGCACACTAATTTGACTAATTTGAAATTTTAGGTTAATCTGGCTGCGCTGACTTATTGAAAAAGTATGCATTAATGTTTCAACAAGTTGCAAAGAGACCAAATAATCTCAAACTTTTGAAACTTTTAACCTCACTATTAACTTGCAATTGTCAAATTCATAGGATATTCCATAATTGTTTGATTGCAGGTTTTTTAAGTGTAAATGAATTTTAAATAGAATCATATAGAGACAATTTATTATGTGCAAACCTCATGATAGAGTAATGCAATGTAATAAATCTAAAATATTACCATATAGATGCAAAACCAGAAAAAACCAGCAAAACAAATTTTCATAGATTTTTAATTTTCTATCGTTACTCGTAAACTCGTAAAATTTACAGAAAGGTTTAAAAAAATTAAAAAGAAACGTAAACCTAAACGTCAGTAAACGAGGTAAGATTCAAAACCACAATCAAACATATCTCAGTACATTGAAACCTTACCTTGTTTCCTAACATTTCGTTTACTTTTTTTTTTAATTTTACTAACTCTTTATTATAATAATTATAGTATAATAATTACTGAAACAGTGTTGAATCTCTTCGTGCTTTGGCAGAGACTGCATAATAAAAACATTACAACATTTTGCGGTTTTGCTAATTTTTAACCAAAGAAAACATTTAACCAATAATACATCAAATAGTTGTACTTTCCCTGTCGATATCTACAATTTCTTCCTCGTCCAGGTCATAACTATTTTTATCAGGATACTCTCCCTTTAATGAAACATAAATATGTACCAATTTCTTGGAATTAGTGAACGTTAATCTATTTCTTATCAGACTGTGAATGTGTCCCCAATTTGAAAAGAGTCTCTCGATTTGAGCTAAGGAGGCTGGCATTTTTAGAAGTCTGAGAGCCATTTTAGCAAGAATTGGGCATTCCAGTTTGACCACTCGCCAAAATACTAGAGGCTTTTCAACTCCTTTTTCCCAAAGTGTTGAGAATATTCCTGAAATTGTAAACCTAATATATTAAAAATCAAAAGAGCGATAATTTTGTCTGAAAGACTTACCCGATTTAGTGTTAAATTTGTCCCATTCTTCTATGCCCTGATTGCACAACTTTCTGAGTAAGAACTGAGTTATTTTACCAGTGTGCTCTGACGTAAACTTGGAATTTTCATATTTCGGATGCAGATAGTACGCAGTTAATGCGTACACGTTTAACGCCATTTGTTGTCTGTGTTTCAATTTTTCTTAAAGGTTATCTGGCAGATTCAAATTGAGCCACGAATGAACGGCATCTGCTACAGATGTGTCAGATTTCTGACAAGCATTGATCAGATTACAAATGGGTTCATAAATTTCTATGTTCTGTTGAACCTCATCCACAAATTCATCGTTGAAGATTAATTCCTTGACTTTCGGCTTAATCTTTTTTTTCGTTACAGCGGCTACTTGTTTCATATATACCAGATTTTCTAGGAGACTTTTGAAAGAATCTCGGTAAGAGCACCATCTTGTTTCGGCCGGCAATTGGATTCTGCGCCCTCCCTTATCAACTATCATTTTTTCTAAATCTGGTTGCTTAAATTCTTTGAGGACAATGACCACATTGTCGACTAACTTTTTATCCAGCACGTCTTTGGCTAAAAGGTTGCCGGCTACTGCACGTAGAGTGCCACATGTTGTGCTTGAGGAGGGATCCCATTTTAATCATTGCACTAGCATTATCCGAAACTATACCGTACGCATCTACATCGTATTTTTCTTTTGCAATTTTTTTAGATTCTGTTATTATTTCGGCAAGTTTTTCTCCAGTCTCAGACTCCGTGGTTAAATTTCAAGCATCAAGAAAGGCATTTTTTACGTCTGCACTATGCAACATTGTCACAACCGTTTTAGAATTAGTAGATGAGTTTTTCCAACCGTCACACAAAATGACTGACTCGGTTTCCACTTTTTTACGTGAAATCTCAATACAGTCTTCATAGCACTTATTTAAAAGCGATGTACAAAGTTTTTTCCGGCCAGGAATTTTGTCTAAATAAGCAGGACGGATCGTTTTTATAAAATTTTTAAAGAGAGGTGATTCTACCACAGTAAATGGTAAGTTGCAGCCAAATATAAATTTGGCTAGTGCAGTGCTTATCTTCTCCTCTTCATACTCTTGTAATATGTCCATATAGTCGGTGATTTTCTTTGATTTTTTGGCTGGTCTAGCTTGAGATGTAGCGAATAAATTTCTTTTATTCGTGCTTGTGTAGCTTGTGCTGGAGGAAGTTGGAGTACTTAAGTTAGTAAAATTACTACTCTCAGTATCAGTAGTTGATAACATCATATTTTCAACAATACTATAAGTGCCTTGAATTGCTACACCATTGTTTTCTTCCAATTCCAATAAGGCGGCATCGGTATCTAATGAATTTTCTATAATTCCATCTAGCATGTTTTCAGGTGAAGTTCCAGTCACAATAGCTAGCGAACCATCTTCCATAACTTCGTAACTACCGTTCGTTGTATTCTAAAATTCAAAATAAAAAGAAACTCTAAGGTGACTAAATATAAAGGGCGGATCTACGGACACCCTGTATACAGAAGTTGGCATAGATACAGCGTTTTGTACTTAATTCAATAGGTCAATCCGTTTTTGGCCGTAAAATACTAAACTTGGTGTTTTTTTTAATGGGACACCCTGTATATAGAGATGCAACAACGTGAAAACCTCAGAATACAAATTCTGGGGTGAAAACTGATGCAATTTATGTCCCCTTCCGAATTCTAATTAAATAGTAATCAAGAAATCTACAATAATATATAGTGCGTTATTTTCACTTCTTGCCGTTAGATGGCTATACGGTTTTTGACGCCATGTTTTCTCCAATATACTACTACCGAAATGGTGATCCATGCGTTGTTGAGTTATGCGGCTCCGAACACATTTTACGATTCATTTTTATATTATAGATAAATATAAGTTCAACAAGTTCCCCCCAAAATTTTTTCTAGATCCGCCCCTGCTAAATATGTAGTAGAACATACGTCCTATATACTCACTTGTGGATTAACTGTAGGTGTAAAACCTGTGTCTGAGCCAGTATTTTCGTATATCGAAACATGCGACATTTCATTATTGGATTGATTACCATTGCCACGATCTAACTTGCAGACGTTTCTTAAAATGAAAGTACGGGACGGGGTTAGTTATCAGCCGATACAAATATCAATTTCAGAGAATAAATCTCTATAGCTATCCAGCTAAAATTAATTAAAATATTTCTTCTTACCTGTGACTTTGCAATCTTGCTGCAGCTGTGTTTTTTATCACATTTCCACATACACAACATTTAGCCGCGTGCTTTCCTTCTATCTTTAATACTTTGAATGATAATATATCATAGTTTTTATTCAGTTTTCTGCCACTCATTTTGATTCTGATCAGATCAGATCACATTCAAAGTTTACAACTGAATAATTTCATAACATAACCTCACTTTTTTCCATTATGGACACGTTGCTGACATTGTCGACATTGTCGACATTGTTGACACGTTCTCGACATTGTCGACACGTCTGTGTCGACAATTAAAGTCGACATGTCGATGTCCATCTCTGGCCAGAACGAGAGACTCAGTTTATCGAGAGGAGAAGAGGCTAGCATCATTTGAACGATACGTGCATTTGAAGGAGATCATTAAAGACTATATTCTCACAACAGTTTGTTGTAAGATTGATGATTACCAAGGGGACTGCTAAGAATAGATAGTGTAGGCTACAAGGAACAAGAATTTGGACAACTCATCATCAGAGAGATAGTTTTACTATTCGTCAGTTTTTCTTTATTAACAACAAATTTTTTAACAATTGCTTTAGAAAAGATAGGAATATTTTGATCAGGAGATTTAGAACAAAAATTTTGATTTGAAGTTTTAATTTATATTGTATATACCATTAATTTTGATAGGTTTACGGACGTAGAACAAAATTTTGATAATAATTATATTTCTTGTTGAAGATATTTGAGTGTGAATTTTATTTTAATATATTCTTATCTCATTATATAAAGTTGTATCATATATGTTAAGAGAATTAATTAGTGTGATAGAATCATCACTGCATTATTTAAATAATTTTAATTAATTAAATAATTAGCTAATTAATTGCTTGACGCCCCTCAGACTTTTAATATCACATTAATATATATATATATATATATATATATATATATATATATATATATATATACAGTGTGTCCACTTAAGTTCGCACCATATGGGAAACTTTCTTATTATTAGTTTTACGAAAAAAAGTTATTCTTCATAAAAAGTTCTGCATGGTGTAAAAACTAAAATACAACCATCAGATATTAAAATTTTTCAGTTGTATACGAGGTATGTTCAAAAATATGAATTTTACCAAGAGCAAAGTACCTCAATTTTTTA